AGTCGTTTCAAAACACCTCATGCGCTCACGTCTAAGTATAGAAACTCCACGATACCATATTTGGCGGCACGTATTTTATATGAAGATAGTGTCAGGGACGTACTAACTAACCTCCTTTCCACTAGTAAATAAACCATTTACTCCATCATTATTCCACTAAGCTTTATTATTATTATTATTATATTCATAATCCTCAAACCTTTTTTGTTTTTTTCCGTCACCATGCTATATCAAGAAAACGTTAGATTCAATACTCTATACTATGCTAAAAATTTCCATACTGTATCGACAACACTGTTTGAAATAAACCCACTGTTGTCACTATTATTATTATTATTAGAGTTATTATTTCCATTTTGTACTTTGCACATTTTTGACTTTATTCCTACTGTATGCGTGGACAAATCATTGTGGTAAATTTTAGTTACATTTTGAGTAAATTAAATGCAATATTGTGACAAATGCCGAGAATACCATGCTGTATTAAAAGTACTGTTTTCTGAATAAAGTAGATTATTATTTGATTTATTTCAGTTTTGACCTTGGATTCATATCAGTTAGAGATACTACTGAAAACCAGCACTGGTGTAGTTAATAGCCGTTCTCTCATACTTTGGGACTCATCAGCAGTACGCACCCAATGGGCTTTGAACTCAGGACATTCGGGTTACAAGGCAAGCTCGTTGTAATCCTTTTCATTCCTCTCTGTTCTGTCTGTTTTGAACGCAGAACTTTGCACAGATGTGCAGCAGTTCAAGTTGTCACACTCCCTCCATGTAGCACACAAAAAGCAAGAGAATAAAGTAGAAGAAATGCATAATAGAGACAGTAGGCAGGAATATTAGACAAAAGGAATAGTAATAACGAAGAACAATAGTGTTTAATTGGAAATTATAAGTCACAAGGAATGGATGCATCTGCACCATTGATACAATATGGTATTTTCAGCATGTAACACAATATTTCATCTAATTTTCACTGTACACTCCCATATTAATGGGGAAATAATTAACAGGACGCTTATACTGATAATACTTTCCAATAAGAATAGGAATAAAAAATTAAAATTTAAGTGGAAATATTAACAACAGTAATATATTGATGAAAGAAAGAATAGAAAAGACCGTTTACATCATATTTTACAGCGCGAGTTAGTAGATTGATGTCTTACGCTTTCCCTAACATACACAATGTGTGCTAAATAAGATAACTTAGAGTTTTTATACTTAGTTGTTCAAGCATAAAGTTTTTTTATAGTTGCTTCTAGTTCTACCCAATGAGATGGAAGGAGAGATTTGTGTATGGAGGGGATGCTTAGAGTTGGACAAGATAATATTTGCCAATTTCTTGCAGGAATCCAAGTGTCTTTCTACAATAGCACTGCCGAGTTGATTTAGCCCTACTGAAGGCTTTTGGTACCCTTCCAAGTATAACAAAGCCTTCGTTAAGTAGCCCAGGAAAGATTAGGGTGTGGGGGGCAGTAAAGAAGTATGGGCAGAAAACAAGGATTAACAAACGTAGAAAGCAGAGAGAGGATGATACCAGATCGCCTTAGCCTCCTTAAGTAAAGCGTCAAACGAAATATCTTTCTGGAAACATAAATAATGTGGGAGGACCAGGAAAGATCAGAGGTAATACCCAGTCCAAGATATTTAACATTTGACTTAGTTCCAACTACCGTGGCATCTAAGATAGTGGAAACGTGCAAACTAAACAGTCCATTTAATTCGCGCTTGCATCTGAAAATAAAATTAACCATCTGACATTTGGAGGGATTAAGCTTTAGACCACCTGAGCTCAGGGACCACTGACTAATTTCTGATAAAAAGTTACCCATTCTGGAACAGTTTGACTGAGAATTAAGGGGCATAGAAACAGTCAAATCATCGACATACTTAACTAAATTGGCTTCGTCACAATGGAGCAAGTCATGTGAGAAGAAGGAAAACAGAAAAGGGGAAGGAACAGCTCCCTGGGAAAGTGGAGCAGTGGATAACCTCCCATTGTAAACACTGCACTGCTTCATATCAGAAAAACAGGAATGCAACCACTTATATTAGTCCAGCCCTATGGTTGTGTCACAGCAAGCTTGTTCAACCAAAGAGGTCTAGGTACACAGAGTTGAAGGCAGATGTGCAATCTAGGAAGGCACACCGAACATATTTCGCACCTCTATCTAAACTAGAGACAATATTATGACATATAAGACGACAGCGGAACCTAAAGTACACCTATTATGTTTATAAGCAAACTGATTAGAGTCGCTAAGTGCTTTCAAAGAATACTCAAGGTTAAGTAAAAGCAGTCTTTCCATTATTTTTAAAAAGATGGTGAAGTAATGGCAATAGGTCTAAACCTAACACTTGGTCTACTTGATGATTCAGGCACAGGGACAATTTTAATGTCCTTCCAAGAGGCAGACACAATGTTAGTGGAAAACGATTCATTCATTCCAGAAGATAACAGCTGATACACCGTCTGAACCAAGCGACTGGGTAGCTTTTAAGGATATGAGACACTTTAGGACATTGTTTGTGTAAAAACCGGAAAATCGAACATTATTTGCACTTGTAACATTTGAGATCATAACATAAGCTGGATGACAAACGTAAGACTTATTAAGGGTACTAGCACCAACTTACTCCCGATGATTTCCTTAAACAGCTTCCACATATTTGATGAGGTTTTACATGATAAGAACTTTTGGTTATAGATCACATTTAATCCCTGTATTTCTGATTTAACTAAACTGCTCAGTCTCTTAACACCAGGATAGTCTTTCAGCTCAGCTTTTTAACCTGAGATGATAAGCCGTCGACCCTTAAGAAGAGTTTCTCTTTTCGACAACAAACATCAAGACAAAATTTCAGCAGTAAAGAAGAATAGCTAGAATAGCCAGGATAAACAAACTGAAAAAGTAGAGACTGCTGAGTGGTGATATCAGATTGTCTTCCCAGAAATTAACATGATGTGAAAAGACCAGAAACAATCCGAAGAAAAACACAATCCAAGGAAGGTATTTAACATTTGACTTAGTTTCAACTCCAGGGCCTTTTATGATACCATAATCATGGGAGCCATCCAGTTCATGATTCTGTCATGATTGTGTTTGAAAGTGAAATTAATAACCTGATATTTGGAAGGATTTAGCTTAAGACTAATTGAGGTCAAGGATTACTGATCAGTTTCTGAAACAGTCTGATTGAGAAGTAACAAGTACGGATAGTATTATCAGCTCACATACACACACACACGCCCAATAAGTGTGATTTACAATCTGGTACATGAAAAATATATTCTTGACAAGTGAATACCAAACATAAAGTGTTAATATTTAGGAAGTAGGTATGATGATACCTTAAGAATAACAAAAAATGAATACATTACTTCAGTCGTTTCTATAGAAACAATATTTAAAAATGTAATATGAAGCAAATCCACTTCCATACAAAAGAAAAGCACATGCTAAATTTAATATTTTAGAAACATGATATTTGTTTTCGCCAATAATAATGCTCAAATATCCTTCAAGTTATATTGTTTCACATATTATTGATTTATGTCTAATATCATACAAACTGGAAAAAGGACAAGTTGGCAAAAAAGGTCGAGAAGATAGAGATAATGAAGACACCCAACCACCACCACCAACAATAACAACAACAAAGAGCGTCAATCTCTGTCAAGGGCAGAAATTTAAAGCATGATGTCTCTTCTCCTTACCTGACTAGGCAACATCTTTTAAAATACATGCGATGCAAATGAGGATATAAAAGGCAGGTGCAAATAAGGAGGACAGGCCTTCATCAATCTGGAATCAGTGTGGAAATCTGCTGCAAGATTCGGAATTTTAACACTAAAGATGAGTCAGTGCTTTTACACGGTGAAGAGACTTGACGCTTCCCAAACAGGCCACTACAGAATTTCACCATTAATTACCCTTGTTGGCTCCATACCGAAGATCAGATGGCCAACAGGTAAGAAAGTATAAGTAACAGAGAACGCAAACAGACAATGAAATTAACCGAGAACCTATAATCCACCAAATATGTCGTAGGAAGTAGTAATGGATAAATTGAATACACTTTGAGGAGACCGTTGAGTGATATCATGCGTCAGGCCATAACTCGAGGGAATCTCGAAGAGAAACAGTTAGCTGAGTATCTATAGGTGGCATGGAGAAGATTGTCATGTGAGGAGATGAGTAATCTTGGAGCCAGCTAAGTGGGACTGCAAAGAACACGGCGATATAGAGATGTACAGTTGACGCCGTGTGTTCCACTCGGAACCCAAGAGGATAATAACATATAACATTTGAAAGTGTGTATAGGCAGCCGCACCTACCACTGCTGTATGATTAATTCAATGAAAATAAAAATGTCGTCGGTGGGACATCCATCCTCACACGTGACATCTGGATGGACCTCACTGGTCACAACTTCTCACTAGAACTCACTGCAGGAAACTCCATCCTGTAGCAAGTCTCTAGTGAGCATCATATTTGGTTGATATCAGTTGAAGAACCATTGAAAATAAGCAGGGAGTACTGGACAGCTGTTCTATCCTAGTTTTGGGAATCGGTGGCAGTACGCATCAACTGGGGTTCGAACCCAGTATCGTCCGGTTAATCTGATGCTCGCTAGTGACTTGCTACAGGATGGAGTTTCCTGAAGTTCTAGTGAGAAGTCGTGACCAGTGAGGTCCAATTAGATGTCAAGTGTAAGGATGGATGTCCCACCGACGACATTGGTTGGGGTTGCGCTAAATCATGAATTGGTAGAAGTTAGAATTCATCAGGTCCCAGCGGCTAAATGGTATACGAGCCAGCTTGCCTTGTAACCGGAAGGTCCTGGGTTCAAACCCTGGCAAAGGACGCCTACTGCCAATGATTCCCAAAACTAGGATGAAAATTGAAATACTTAACGCACAATAGAAATGAACAACAAAAATATATAGAAATAATACTTCAAAATAAAAAAAATAAAAATTCCCCAACTTACTTTTAATAGAATTGAAATCTGATGAAGTAAATGATTCTGTATTGGAACTATTTTTCACCCAATTATCAATATCAGTAAAATGTTCATGGACTGACGATGATGAAGCATTCTCAGTTTCTGGCAAACTTAGAACGTCTGATTCACAATTCTAAATAGAAACAAAATTAGAATGTCAGTCAATAGTGTTTATTTGCATCTGAACAAAGGATTATTTTATTATTTAATTTATTTAAACACAAAAAACTTGGTATAATATGGCACCAAGAAGATGCACCATACAATAATAATAGACCAACATAGATTAAAAGTAAAAATATAAGTAGAGAACGGATAAAGAACTTCATCTGGGAGGAAAATAGTCATATTTAACAAGTCAACTACTGTTGGGAAAGGAAGAAAGAAGGGAATTGCGAGCCACCGATTCCAGCTATCTCTCGGACTCAGACCAGGCAGTCTTGACGCACCAACCGATGCTAACCTAACACAAGTATCCTTCATCCCACGATGCTACATCATGAGCTGACCACCTCTCCGCTTTTTCCAGCCCGTCCCAAGGCTAGCTAACAGAGACCTGTACAGAAGACTCTGGGATGACATTCGTAGCACATTTCCAAGCCACCGAAGCCGGTGTTTCCAGATGACAACACTCAACGAATGGTGATCTCCAATGTGTCCAATCACACGCTGCCGAACCTCAGAATTACTCACGCGATGATGTCATCGAACACAAGCAATCCTGCGTAGACAGAAATGATCGAATATGCAGAGTCACCAAACATCCTCAGCTCGGAGAGGCCAGGTTCCACAGGAATTAGCTGACATAGGATTAGGTTACGTATGTGTTACGTATGCCTAGTCATCGCCTTCCTCGCCGGGCAATGTTAACTGATATAGGGCCAGGCTGGAAAAGAGCTAGCGGTGGTCAAACGAAAACATGGCACCAGTCAATGAAATCCACAACAGTTAGCTTAAGCCACGTAGGAAGATGTAGACTTCCTGGTTGGGGTCCTCGGGACGGTAAAAACCAATGGTTGGAAACAATTGGTGATATGGCTCAAAATCGTTATCAATAGTGCAGATGCATCCACTTCTTGCGACTTATGCTTTCCAATGAAACTGTTTTGTTCTCCGTTATTACTATTCCTTTGTCTCACACCTCTGTTTACTGTCTATATTATGCAGTTCTTCTACTTTCTTCTCTTGCTTTGTGTGCTACATGGAGGGAGTGTGGCGACTTGAACTGGCGCACATATGTGCAAAGTTCTATGTCGAAAACCGACCGACTGACTGACCGAGATGACAACATTAAACAAATGGTGATCTCCACTGTGCCCAATCACACGCTGCTGAACCTCAGAATTACTCACGCGATGTCATCGAAAACAAGCAATCCTGCATAGACAGAGATGATCGAATATGCAGAGTCAACACACATCCTCAGCTCGGATAGGAATTAGCTGACATAGGATTAGATTGGGAAAGAGTTAAGTGTTGTCAAATCTAAACATAGCACCAATCCATGAAGTTTATTGACATTTGGTTTGAGCCAGCCACATGAGGAAGTATAGGCTACCTGGTTAGATACGTTGGGATGCGAAGAACCAATAACTGGAAGCTATTGGTGATACGGGTAAAAATCGTTTCCACGTCCATTTACTCTATTTTCTCTAATTTTATGTGATACATATAATGTGGCTAGTTGAAATGCTGCTTGTCAAATATGTACACGCAATTGTACTGGAAACGTTAATCACGATCGATGAATAATTGAAAATATGGTATTGTATAAGGCAGATTGAATCAAGGAATTAAATACTTCCAACTGTGCTACATTGTGCAAGTAGTCTACGAGCAATTCTCACATTACACCATTAACCATATTCACTCAGTGTGATAAATATAAATTCTTAAAAAAACTTGAACTTCGTGTGTACAAACTAAGACTTACAATTCTTTGTCGAAAATGCGACAAGTCATGTGTTCATGATATGCATGGAGCATCTATAAACCACCTAGTGCAACCAGAGGAGAGTAGACTTCGGTCTTCCTCTCGAATTACTGTCATATGACTACGAGTTCACAGCATCTGCCAGGTAAATTCTGTTTGCTGCCTTCACGTGGTGGGGGTATTCCTCACGGAGAATGAAAAGGCGAATGCGTGGCGCTTATAACTGGGCAGGTGTACATACTATTCTACCTATGGTGGGGAAGTGGAAAGCAGTGATTCCAAACCTATGTGCATGGATTCCAGAAACTGAGGGGATAGAATAGCGTTCAAAACTGTTTGGGTCACCGGAAACCATGAGAACGCAGCTCCTGATACTGCCCAGGTTTCAAGTCGAAGTCTCAGAGGGTAGTCCCTTAAAATAACCACCTGCTTCAATCTAGGCACCATGGTAGTATTTCATATCTCTCAGAAACTAAGATATTTTTTAAAGCGCAAGACTTGGTGCCAGTAATGTAAAGTTTGCATTTTTTAGTAATGATCATCAGACATAACATGCACTAATGAAATTAAAGCATCATTAGCACCATTCTAAAACTAATTGTTACTGTAAAAGAAACTAACCAGACAAACAAGAAAGAGTTCCGTGTGATAATGTTGTGTTTAAAATATTACCAATGCAAGAAAACAGCAAATCTATTCAAAATAAACATTCTACTTAGAGTTAAAATGCACTAGACAGTACACATTTTCTAAAACACCTCATATATGAGAAGTTGTACATTTAAAAATTGAATATAAGCTAGGTAATCACACAGGCGAACAACGCTTTCTGTTGTGATTCAGAAACAGCCATCAGAACATAAACTCTGACGCTTCGATATGTTTCTTTATTTTAGGAATCACTTTCGCTCTGACAATTCTTTAAAATGTCACAGAAAGTTCTCGCCAGTATTGATTCTTCATCTAATGGTCAAAATTTCGAGTGCTTTTTAAAACAAACACACTTAATCGAAATCATCAACAAATGGGCTAAGTGAGGTAGTAATATATACTTACACAGTTTGTGCAGTACTGGACCTTCAAAACTGAAGAACAAGGGTTAAATAACAAACCCAATAACTACCTATTGAGAATTGCTGACTGCTTTCTTCGTAAAGGAAGTTCACACGACTTGACCAGGAATTTAAGGAGAATTCACAGTCTACGTTATTAAAAAAAGAATATTGAGCTCCCTTGTCATTCTGAAAAATAGCTCTTAACTGAAGTCAGCCTACATTTCACATACAGAAAATCCAGTCTAAACAGAAAAATTCCCGTTTATTCCTTTATCATTTGGAACAAACCCCTCTACCTAGAGTCTAACTAATGACTGACTGCCTGGTTTCAACACAGAACTTTGCACAGATGTGCAGCAGTTAGAGTCGCCACACCACAAAGCACACAAAGCCAGGGAAGAAAGTAAAAAGAAATGCAAAATAGAGACATGAGGCAAAAAGAATAGTAATATCGAGGAAAAACATAGTTTTATTATTATTCTAAGTCACGAGGAGCGGATGCATCTGTGCTATCATTGAAAACGAAGCTGAGCCAAGACTAGCTAATAATAACTATTTGCTATTATTAGACTGGCTACTAACCTTCTACGTGTAAAAACCTTTCGGATCTTATGGATAATGGAAGAAATTATCATAAAAATTAGGAAAATATTTACCTCTGAATGGGACACATTATCATCCGTCCTGTGCGATGAGATAAATGAATGTTCTTCTAATTCTGAACATCTCAGAGAATGGAGAGCCTTGGCTTTGCACTTCATACAGATGTAACAGTTTTTGCACAACCTAGGCGTATAAATTCACACAATTTAACTTACAAACACTGTAGAAATTCATCTGACAACACATCACCACAACTAGCACAAAGGTTGGGATTGCATTTTACTTCTGACTTTTCAAGAACTGCAACATCACGTTCTTTTTCAGATCCTGAATTGCTGAGTATGTCCCAGGAATCTCCAGAACCACTTGACAAACATTCGAAGGAATCATCCCCCATTTTCTAGTTTGCTAACTGACTTGTTGCCTAAGGTACTCAGTCAGCTGATTGAAAAAAAATTCAAACAACCCTCTCTTTCACTTCACAAAGCTGCCTAACAAAGATTCAAATAACCTTTTAAGACCAATATTTTTCCCGGAGAAAAGACCTCATTTTGCATCACTATTCTTCTAATCTGAACTCGTCCTTGTCTAATCCCTCCTTAAAAGGTCTACTGAGACGACAATTCAACTTCCAGGAGTATATGACACTGTGGGGTAACCAGAACACCACAGCAACATAGTTCCTCCTTGGTATATCAGCGTTTGCTGCGCTCTGTGGACTGTCTTCACATGATACAGGAAGAAAAAGAGGGGCTGGATCAGGTCCACGGTCTGTCCGAAGTGAAGGGAGCATTCAAAATCACTTGCGTGCCAGTTGCATATATCTGCAAACTTAACTAAATTGATAGGAAGCAATCATTCTTCGCACTGACTCGACCGGGTAGTGAGATTTATTTTTAAGATGAGTACAGAGTTTTTACGTCAAACCGGACCAACTGTAAACGTTGCGGTCAGTTAGTATTCGGTTAGCGATTAAGAAATACAGAAAGACGATACGAGTAACACACAGAGAACTATACCTTCGTAGCAGTAAATCATTCCCCAAAACTGATAGACCACAGTATTCTTCACTCAAACCTGGATACTGACCTTCAATGTTACAGTCGACTTGTCAAAATGAAAGTATCGTGTCAAGCATCCAAACCGTTTGGCACGCTGTCCTGTGCTAAAGTCATAATCACATTACGTTCCCGACCCCAAAGCATATATTGGATATTCTGGATGATCAGTTTTGTGTTTTGATTTGTCACTGGTCTAAGCAAAGCAAGTAGTTTGGGAGCTGCGAGACAGAAATTGAGTTCATATGCAACGTATCTTGCGTACAACTTGATATCACAGTTTTTGCACCCATATCTTCTTTTTTCTTATAGTAGTTAATATCTCGTATAAACGGGTAAGTTCACATTGTAGCGGTATATAATTCCCCAGCATTATTGGACACCTCTGAACATTGGATGCGAAACCCCACTGTTTTAGTCAATTTGTTTAGCTGAACGTTTCCGACCAAGCATCCACACCATTTGGCACGCTGTCGTGTTACGTTCGTTTGTCTGTGCAAGATCCCTAGCTAGTTAAGTAATCTTCTCGCACTCCGATTTGATCCCGAAATATAACTCGCAATTTAGTTGATCAATTCTGGTGTTTTGCTTTGCCTTTGGTCTGCGAGGAATAGATCTTGCGTTATTATACTTCGTACTATCCATGAGCGTCAACACCGTTAGCCTCTAAAACATGAAATTCATGCCAGTTTTACAACCATGATCAGTTATATTATAAATTACAATCGTGAAGTATCATAAATTCACACTTTTTCGACAGTTTGAATTGTTCGATTATTGTACAAGAATTAGAAGGGGTTCTTGTAAATGCTTAATTGTAAACCCTTTACTATGGTCACCACCAATTGAGCGCCAACCCAAACTTCATTCCGTTTCCTGCTGACTGTTATCGTCAATCAGTGAACAACCTATGTTTGGGCAAGTGCTATGCCTCCATGTGATTAAAAGCTATTTCAGGAAGAGGAGAACGTCATAGAGAGGCGTATAGGCCGAATGTGATTAGTAGGCAAATGAAAAAATTACTTAACATGGTGAGAAGCTTGATCAGATAGATTATAACATCCTAAATATATAATGAATTTAAACAGTAATAATAAGCAGGACAGGTGAAATAATACCGAGAACTTTTCTCTGAATAAAAACAGTATCTTTGCTGAAAAACTGATGCACCCGCACAGAGGGTTCTCAAGTGGTCTCGCAAGAGGTTAGTATGAGGATGTTCGTTTGTCCCTGAAAACCATTATATATGCCCAGTTAATGTGTGTATCGTTGCGAGTCACTGCTCGAGTTATAGAATACTCTCCAACCATGCCTCATGTCATCCAAGATTCGGTCCGCGACCGACTCACTCCTTCACATCGCTTAACAGTTAGTAAACCGGGTAAAGAAGGAAGGTTGTACATGAGGTTAACAACCCTACTCCTTAAAAGAATAGTCGCGACTACTACTGAAAGCTTAAGCCTGAAGCCCTATGCTCCCCTTGGAACGCAAAGAATTTAAAAAAACCACTATAACGAAGGGACATTATTCATAAGAGATGACCAGATCTAAAAACCTTTAAGTGATAACATCAAGAGTCAAACGTGCATGGAAGTTGTGGGCAGAAAGAAGAGACAGGACAAACAGTGGCTCACTACATACATATGGGGACTTATAGAAGAGAGGAGGATGGTGAAACAAAAGATTATACAGTGCATTGACGATCAACAAAAACAGGAGTTGAATGCAAGCTACAATACACTGAACAAAAGAATAAAGAAAAGTGCTAGGGAAGGCAAAAGAAAGTATTATGAAGCTATGGCAAGTGAAGCAGAACAAACGGCAGTGCAGGCAGAGGAGACCTCGCAACACTCCACCAAACAACTAGGTTCCTATCGGGGAAACGTTCAACACAAATCAAGCCAGTGAAGGATCATAATGGAAAGTCAATCACTAAAGAGGTGGAGTAAAGGAAGTACTGAGCTGAACACTTGAAAATACTTCTAAATCGACCGCGCCCAATAATGCCAACAGCAGAAGCAAGACTTCCAGTGGAAAACAACCCTCCAACGAGAACAGAAGTTCTGAAGGCAATCAAGATGCTGAAAGCTGGAAAAGCAGCAGGACCAGATGGAATCCCAGCAGAAGCATTGGAAATGAACCCAGAGACAACAGTGCACTTGATGACGCCACTACTGGAGAAGGTGTGGAAAGAGGGAAAAGTACCCGAGGATTGGAAAAAAGGATACTTATTCAAACTGCCAAAGAAAGGAGACTCAAATCAATGCAAGAACTGGTGCGGAATTATGCTCCTGTCCATCTCAGGCAAAATATTAGGTCGCATCATCCTGGAGAGAACCAAACATGCCCTGGATGAAAAACTTCGACCGGAACAGGCTGGATTGAGGAGAAACAAGTCATGTATTCATCAAATCGCCACACTACGGATCATCACTGAATAAAGCTTGGAATGGCAGTCGCCTCTTTATCTCAGCTTCATCAACTTTAAAAAGGCCTTCGACAGTGTCGATCGAGAGGTGATTTGGCAACCACTTCGCTTTTACGGGGTTCCATCGACAATTATACATCTCATCCAACAGCTGTACGACAATGCTGCACGCCAAGTAATCCACAACGGGAAACTTACGGAATCCTTTGAAGTGAGGACAGGAGTAAGACAAGCTGGCTGCCAACTATCGCCAATGATTTTCCTGGTTGCAGTAGATTGGATAATGCGACAAACAGTGGGCAATGAGGAAAAAGGCATAAAATGGACTCACACAAAAAACTTGGAGGATATGCACTTCGCCGATGATATATGTCTGATTTCCCACAAACTGGAAGATATGCAAGCGAAAAGCAACAAGTTGACAGAAGAAGCATCAAAGATAGGACTTCACTTCAGGTGAACATAGAGGAAACAGAGATGATGAAGATTCCTGGACAGGAACAACAACAACAGACAATAATCAGCATAAATGGAAGGAACCTGAAAGAAACAACCTGCTTTACCTACCTGGGAAGCATCGTTTCAACTGCAGTCAGACGGAACTGACGAGGATATCAAAGCAGCGAGGATCGGAAAAGCAAGACAAGCTTTTACTACTCTCAAGTCTATGTGGAGGTCAACAGTACTCACCATCAAAAATAAGATCCGGATTTTCAACTCCGAAGTGAAGTCAGTCAGTGCTACTATACGGATCAGAGACTTGCACTGCACGTCAAAAAGAGCATCTCAAACAAACTACAGACCTTCATCAACAGTTGTCTTCGCTCAATACTCAAGATCAGATGACCAGAAAATATCAGCAATAGAGATCCCTTGGAGCGAACCAACCAGGAACCAATTGTGAAACAAATGGGCAGGAAGAAATGGAGATGAATTGGCCATACCCTGAGGAAACCATCAAGTGACATCACTAGACAAGCCCTTGAGTGGAACCCGAAAGGGAAGCGGTGAGTTGGTCATCAGTGCAAGGGTGACTTGGAGGAGGTCATGTGAAGAGGAGATGAAAACGTGTGGACAGACTTGGAGCCAGGTGAAAACGTTAGCAGAGAACCGAATGCGATGGAGACGCACGGCTGAAGCCCTATGTTCCTCTAGGAATTAAAGGAAACAATAATAAATAATAATATAGTGAAAGGGACAGTAGTATATAGTAGTATACAGTTCAGAAGAATTCGACTATTCATGATTATCATTATGGAACAGTACAGTAAGTTATATCAGTATTTAAAACTCATTGCGTGGCTAAGTTGAATGTTTAGATGATTACCATTTAATGAACGAAATATTCCCATATTGAGTCATAAGAAAAAGGCAAAATCAGCGAAGAAAATTTTCTTTTCGACGATTCATTTTCATGAGCTGTACAATCGTAATTATAATTAACAAAGAAATCTTTAGACCAATCAGATACTGGTAAATTTTGTCCTTGGAAAATTGTATTGCAGAATGTAAGGTGTAAGAAGGGATGACTAATTGTAAGTTAGAAAGGAGACAGAAGTTGGCATGACGTAATAAGTGTGAGATAGTGAATAATCAATAATCTCGTGTAAAATGGACAGGGGCTACAAGGAAAGGCTATAAAGTGTTTTTGTATAAAATATGTATGAAAAACAATGTTATTAATAAACAGTAATAGAGTGGTAATAGAATGTGGATGATGGGGACAAAATGATAATAAAAGTATTAATAAAATAAAATAATAACAATAATAATAGTAAACTTACATAACAAAGGAAAGAAGCAAAATTGTGATAAGAACTTTACTCTGGCCATGGTAAGGCAAGAGAATGTATGTATAGCTTTTGTATGCAGAGGTCCGGTTTTAGATCTCGAATAGCTAATGCTTCAGCT